TCTCTCACACTCTCTCTCTCGCAGACATGTTGCTGATCACAAACAACCCCTATGATTACGCCTTCATCTCTCAGGGGGAGACAACTGTGGCTTCTATCGATGATAAGGAAGAATTAATGGCAACAGATGTGAGTGTAACACTCCCCACAGCCCCTGTACCCCAGGGGTTAGACCCCCCCCTCACATCCCACAGCCCCTGTAGCTCAGGGGGTCAGACCCCTCCCCTCACACCCACAGCCCCTCAGGGGTCAGACCCCCCCTCACCCCACAGCCCCTCAGGGGGTCAGACCCCCCCTCACACCCCACAGCCCTGTACCCCAGGGGTCAGACCCCCCCTCACCCCCACAGCCCCCCAGGGGGTCAGACCCCCCCTCACCCCACAGCCCCTGTAGCTCAGGGGTTAGACCCCTCCCTCACACCCCACAGCCCCTGTAGCTCAGGGGTCAGACCCCTCCCCTCACACCCCACAGCCCCTGTAGCTCAGGGGGTCAGACCCCTCCCCTCACACCCCACAGCCCCTGTACCCCAGGGTTAGACCCCCCACCCGCACCCCACAGACCCTGTAGCTCAGGGGTCAGACCCCTCCCCTCGCACCCCACAGCCCTGTAGCTCAGGGGTTAGACCCCTCCCCTCACACCCCACAGCCCCTGTAGCTCAGGGGTTAGACCCCCCCCTCACACCCCACAGCCCCTGTAGCTCAGGGTTTAGACCCCTCCCCTCACACCCCACAGCCCCTGTAGCTCAGGGGTCAGACCCCTCCCCTCATACCCCACAGCCCCTATAGCTCAGGGGTTAGACCCCCCCACCCCGCACCCCACAGCCCCTGTAGCTCAGGGGTTAGACCCCTCCCTCACACCCCACAGCCCCTGTAGCTCAGGGGTCAGACCCCCCCCCTCACACCCCACAGCCCCTGTAGCTCAGGGGTCAGACCCCTCGCCTCGTGAGCCAGAGGACCCGGGTTCGATTCCCGGGCGGGACAGGACGGGGCCAAACCTTAGGCGAGTTTCCTTACTCCCATATACACAGACACACACAAAGAGACACACACACACACACCCTCACACACAGACACACACACACACACAGCGCTCACACCCTGCCCTGCCCTCCCTGCCCTCCCTGCCTCCCTGCCCTCCCCTGCCCTGCCCTGCCCTACCCTGCCCTGCCCTGACCTGGCTTCTCTCTGGCTGACAGAGTGCCTTTGATGTCCTGGGGTTCACCCCGGATGAGAAGATTGGGATCTACAAGTTGACAGGAGCCATCATGCACTACGGAAACATGCGCTTCAAACTGAAGCAGAGAGAGGAGCAGGGGGAGCCCGACGGCACAGAAGGTTTGGGGATAGTCTACACCCCATTCACCCCCACCCCAACCCAACCTCGTCCAACCCAACTCACCCCAACTTAACCTCATCCAACTCAACTCACTCCAACCCAACCCAACCTCATCCAACGCAACCTAATCCAACCCAACTCACCCCAACTCAACCCCAACTCAACCTAATCCAACCCAACTCACCCCAACTCAACCCCAACTCAACCTAATCCAACCCAACTCACCCCAACTCAACCCCAACTCAACCTAATCCAACCCAACTCACCCCAACTCAACCTAATCCAACCCAACTCACCCCAACTCAACCCCAACTCAACCTCATCCAACCCAACTCACACAAACCCAACCCAACTCACCTCAATCCCAACCCAACCCCAACCTTGTCTGTTGTTGTCCAGCGCCATGTAACGTCCTCCCAACGTGGACGGTAATACCCAAATGTAATTTATTGTTGTTGTTGTTGTTGTTGTTGACAGAGGCTGACAAAGCAGCTTATCTCATGGGCCTGAACTCCGCTGACCTCCTGAAAGGTTTGTGTCATCCTCGGGTCAAGGTCGGGAATGAGTACGTGACCAAGGGCCAAAATGTCCAACAGGTAAATAAGATCTCTCACTCGCTTTCACACTCTCTCACATCCACCGCTGTCTCTCTCTCTCTCTTCTCTCTCTCTCTCTCTCTCGCTCTCTCTCTCTGTCTCTCTCTCGCTCGCTCGCTCCACAGTCACTACGCTTTACGTTGCTTTGACAGATCTCTTATTCAGTCGGGGCTCTGTCCAAGTCGGTCTACGAGAAGATGTTCAACTGGATGGTGGTGAGAATCAACCAGAGTTTGGAGACCAAACTCCCAAGGCAGTATTTCATCGGTGTCTTGGACATCGCTGGCTTCGAAATCTTCGACGTACGTGAGATGCCCTCAAAGCAAAGTCCCTTCCTTCTTCACTGCTCTCCTCACACTCTCTCTCTCTCTCTCTCTCTCTCTGTCTCTCTCTCTCTCTCGCTCGCTCTCTATCTCTCTCTATCTCTCGCTGTGTCTCTCTCTCTCTCACTCCCGTCTCTCTCTCTCTCTCTCTCTGTCTCTCTCTCCCTTCACACACACATCTCCCTCTCTCACACCCACACCCCCCCCCTCTCTCTCTCTCTCATTCTTGCCCTCTCTCTCATACACACTCTCTCTTATTTTCTCTATCTGTCTGTTTCTCTCTCTTTATTTTTTTCTGTCTGTCTGTATGTGTGCGGTGTGTGTGTCTATCTCTCTCTCACCCACACTCTCACGCGCTCTCTGTCTTCCTCCCCCAATCCCTATCTCTCTCTCTCTCTCTCTCTCTCGCGCTCTCTCTCTCTCAATCTCCCTCCACATCTCACACTCCCAATCTCTCTCTCTCTCTCTCTCTCTCTCTCTCGTTCCCCCTCTCGCAGTTTAACAGCTTCGAGCAGCTCTGCATCAACTTCACCAACGAGAAACTGCAACAGTTTTTCAACCACCACATGTTTGTGCTGGAGCAGGAAGAGTACAAGAAGGAGGGCATCGAGTGGGAGTTCATCGACTTTGGGATGGACCTTCAGGCCTGTATCGACCTCATCGAGAAGGTTAGAGCTCCACAAGGAGACCGCGCTCTCCTCATAACATGTGTGTGTCTGTGTCCCAACTCGACGCCAACCCCAACCCAAAACCAACCCCAACCCAACCCCAACCCCAATCGACCCCAACCAACCAAAACCAACCCAAACCCCAACCCAACTCCAATCCAACCCCAAGACCATCCCAACCCCAATTCAACCCCAACTCAACACCAACCCAACCCCAACTCAACCCTAACCCAACCACAGCTCAACCCGATTCAACCCCAACCCCAACTCAACCTCAACCTCAACTCATCCCCAACCCAACTCAACCCCCAACCCAACACCAACCCAACCCCAACTCAACCCCAACCCAACTCGACCCCCAACCCAACACAAACCCAACCCCAAACCAACCCCAACTCAACCCCAATCCAACCCCAACCCCAACGCAACCCCAACTCAATCCCAATTTAACCCCAACTCAATCCCAACCCAAATCTCTCTCAATCTCTCTCTCACACACACACACTCTACCTCTGTGTCTCTCGCGCACCCTCTCTCACAATTTCTCTCTCTCTCTCTCTCTCTCAGACACATTCTCACACTCACTCTCTCTCTCTCTCTCTCTCTCGCTCACAGCCTATGGGAATCATGTCCATTCTGGAGGAAGAGTGCATGTTCCCCAAGGCCAGTGACCAGACCTTCAAGGCCAAACTGTACGACAACCATCTGGGGAAATCCAACAACTTCCAGAAGCCTCGTATAGTGAAGGGAAAGCCTGAGGCCCACTTCGCTCTGGTCCACTATGCGGGGACAGTGGACTACAATATCTCTGGGTGGCTGCAGAAGAATA